TCAGAGAAGCATTCTCTCGGGAGTTTGTTACTGAAAGTCACAGTTCAGAAGGACAAGCTGCCTGAGTATAACTTGCTTTTTATCAAAGAAACATGATAGTAATGGAGATGGTTTTCCACCATGAACATGACATGACTGGTCTTAGCTGTGAATATGTGATCTGATGGAACTATCGACTGTAACTTGTCTGAACATCTGCAATAGTAATAGTGACACAATAGCGAGTAGTTTGCAAAATTTTGTCTCTGGGATAGGAGTTGTAAAATGGAAACTAATTGATAATTCAAAAGGCCACGTATACGATCCTTATGTATATCTAGACGGAAGACTGTGCAGCTCCATACCATTCTTGATCCGAATGGGCTCTTGTAAAGATAGACCACATCAGCAGGACCAGGTATTTTCTAGAACGATAAAATGAGCCGACCATTCTTCCAGCATATTTTCCAAATATCCATGTTGCATTTTAAGTCGGAATTAAGCCATTAGGCATTTGAAGCATGTAGTCTCTTTCAGGGTTTGACCTCTCATCCGGATATGGTAATGGTTAAGGGTCTGCTCCATGATGTCTAAATATTACAAGTTTAGTGTTGGATGTATTGTATATCAGCCAGTCTTTTCCCCGCTCAGCTGTAAGTCTTAGATAAAAGGAGGTGTCAGTTATCAGGCATTTGTCATCAAGATATTTCTATTGCAAATAATTGAACTAAATGATTCATAAGTTTTCTATTCTTCCTTAACTTCTTAATGATAGTCTTGCAAGTTTCTTGAGGTAGATATTTTAGTGACTGCCAGAATTACAGAAGACGAGGTTTAGTAAAGGGAAGCAAAGTGAAAACCTTCGCTAAAATTGTCTGCCTACGGATTCCAAAATGTCTAAAGAACGAAAGAAGGAGAGGGGAAGCAAAGGAAAGAACGAAAGAAAGAATGACAAACGGGAGAAAAATTTAGAAATACAAAACTAAATAAATGTAATATGAAAAAGAAAAATGGGGAATGATGTATAAAAATAAACAAAAGAATTCGAAAAATGGATACAAAATAAAGAAATAAAAAAAATCCTATATATAATTAAAAATTAAGAAATTACATGTAATACTGAAAAATTAAAGTGTATAAATTATAGAATGTTAAAAGAAAGGAAAAATAAACAAAAAGAGAAATAAAAAATTATACAAAAAGAAAAATTATGAAATATAGAAAAACGCGGTAAAAAGCAAAAACAAAATAAAAACTATGACAATTACATGAAATGAAAGTAGGAAATGAAGAAAGAAAAAGAGAAACACTATAAAATATTAAATGACCAGAAAAAGAAGTAAAATAATGTATGAAATATCGAATTATATATATATATATATATATATATATATATATATATATATATATATATATATATTAAATTTTAGTCATTTCACTCCAAGCTAAACAATAATATGAGTAAGAAATAAGGAGGATAATGAGAAAATGGAAGGCAAACTTAAGAAGCGAGAATAATAAAAGAACAATTATGAAGAAGAAGATCAAGATAACGATTTTAAACACCAAAATGTGATTAGAAAATAAGAAGGTGAAAGCTAGATTCACAAGCGAAAAGTGTGAAAAAAGAACCACTTAACATAGAACATGCTTACTTCTAGCCTATTGAACTGTAAATTGATGAGAACTTCTTGTTAATCTATTACTGCGTTTAGATACTTAAATATAGATAGCATAGATGAAAATAACATTTATTTTGTTTTAATACAAAAAAATATGGCAAGAGGAGAAAGCTGGTCTTTAGTCAGACTTATCTTAAACTTAGCTAGCCACGATTACTGAATCAAATATACCAAAGTATTCCTTAAACCAAAAGAACACATCCATATTTACCATTCTTACTACAGCTACTATAATACCTCTAAACTAGTTCTAATATGTACCACAAAGGAAAGTTCATCAGAATAATTAGCATGAATGTTTTTTATAGAAATGGCAGAGGTCAGCTACATAACAGAGAGGGCGTGACTGAATCCGAGATGCCAGGTCAGGCCTTCCAGATTATTAGATTTCAGATTAGCCTTCCAGATTATTAGATTTTATCAAGAATCTCTAAATATATAGCGGGATCGCCAACAAATTTGTTCAAAGTATTGACAAATTGTAGACTCATAAATTTTTAAGATAGATTCTTTAGAGAAAAATTGTCGAGCACGGCAATGTGAACAAACTTTCCTAGCAGCAAACCTAATAATTAAATCGAAAGAAAGCAATAACGTAAATGAAGTATATAGAAATAAAAAAAGACAGATATAAGCGTCAGAAATTAATAGAAAAATATGTATTAACATTCATCTGGGAATGATTTGCTTTGCCTTTTGCACAGAGTTGAGAACTAAATCAGATGGCCAAAAATGTTTCATATTAAGAGAGCAATGAAAAGGAAATAGACAAAATAAAAGAAAATAAAAGAAGATAGGCAAATCGGAAAAAAACATCTCGAGGGGAAACAGGAAGAATAAAACAAGAAAGAATGAAAATAAAAATAAAAAATCCTAGTATAAAAAGGAACGTGGGTAGACGCTGAATAAATGTAAATAAAAGAAAGAAAAACAGAAAGAAAGGAAGAAAGAAAACCGGTTACCCGCCCCCCAAAAGGAAACCGATAAGAAAAAAAAAAGGGTGATAAAATATATATAATATATATATATATAAAAATATATATATATATATATATATATATATATATAGTCATATATATATATATATATAGGTATATACTTCGAAAGTAATATGAATATTTTCTATAACCAATAACGAGAAATTTTACGTTGGATTGCATCAAGTACATCTCCATTAATGCGTGTATAGAGGAAGAAATCGGAAAAAAAAAGATAGAAAAAGGAAGAAAATATAAAAGAAAGAATGAATTGATGAAAGCAAAAAAATGAGGAACAAAATAAACGCTGACACATGAAGAGGAAGAAGAGATAGTTAATGTCGTATTAGAATGAAAAGAATGATACAATTTCTTACAAGTATTAGATATCAAGAAATGCGAGTTATTAATAACCAACTTTTTATACGGAAGAATCTTATATCTAATATCATATTTCGCATATTATCTAGATGAGGCACATTTAACGACCGCCTTTCTACAGATTCCCAGCGTATGAATTAGCCCACGTATATATTCGCAGATAGTCAGATTACAAACTTTCGTAGCTACTCAAGACTATTTTTGATGTTTTTAACATTTCTTTTTAAAAATAGTCTTCTATTTAAATTTTCTTTCTATTTACCTTAAGATCATTGATAAAATCCAAAGAAGAATCAGCAATATTATTGGTCCTGATCTGTCAGATTTTCTTCAAGCATTTTCCTACTGCCGTAACGTTGCCTCGCTGCGCCTTTTCTGTAAATAGTTTCATTGTATTTGTTCGAATGAGCTCTTCGCTATGGTAACTATAGTATTTGGATATAAGTTCAGTAATAGTCTAGCGTCGTGCTCTCATCAAACCATAGTTGAGCTGTCTAAATGTTGCCGTAAGTTCTATGCAAACAGTTTCTTTTCCCGCACTTCTCGTTTGTGGATCTTACTTCTGGTTCCATGTTTTCCAACCAACTTTAATTTGCAAGTTAAATGCAAAGTCAATCGCTATCTACTCTCCTTCTGATTGTTATTTTCTCTTTCCGCTCATTAATATTGCTTCTGTCCCTAATTCTTCCACACCGTGTAACCTCCGCTTGTATCTTAGTGGCTTTACTGCCTTGAATTGGATGATAACGTTTAAAAAAGAAAATAAATGTCGAATGGATAAAATTTTGAAAATGTAGCATCTTTAAGTAACTGCTTAACGTTATAAAATAATATTTGTTCATTTTTGTTGTCATAGTTTCTCTATATTAATGCAGTCTTCTTAAAATTCTCTAATCTTGCCTGATAAATTTACACGGTTGAAAAAGAAAATAACATTAAAATATTTCGAGTTAATCTTGCACGAAATTAATGTACATATTCTTTCAAAAAGAGGGCCGCGCCATTTTAAATACATCGTACTTCTCTTCGTAATTCGACAATTAAAAATGAGTTGAGACACGGTCTGCAATGCGTGATAACGGTTTACATAATAGACATGGTGTTCAATTTACCATAGATCTCTTTTGAATTTAAACGTGTCATTTATACCTGCGGGAAAACTGTATTGAAGTAAATATTCATTCACTGGAAACATGAAGATATACAGAACTGTACTTAATGTATTTGTATAGCTTACATAGAAGCGTTCTCTTTGTGTTTATTTTCATACAAAAATGTTTTCTCTTTGACATGTGTTTTTTTTTCTTTTTCTTTTTGTCTGGATAGATCTTTAGTTTATTTTGCACATTTTAGCGGTTCTTATTCTAAGCAGAAATAGAAGTCCGTTACAATCGCGAACCTCAGGAGAAGAGAATTTAAAATTAAAGATTGACAACGCGAACGACAAGAAAACGAAAAACTAATTCATTGAATCCAATCATTTCAAACCGTCTCTTATGACGTGTCAAGAATTCAATGTAGCAATACAATCCGACTTTATTATCAGAACGCAAATTCTTACCCAGTAGAATTCGTTTTGCTTTTTCTTTTCTTTTTTTTTTAACTATATTTCTTTCGTTTTTATCTTTTGAATTTTATTTCGTTACTTTATTTTTCTTATTTCTAAGTCCATTTTGAATCCTGCTCTGTCGTTTTTATTTATCCTATCGGCGTGATGGTTATTTTGCAGTTAACTTAATATAAGATTCGTATTATTTTATATGATGTTTTTTTTTTATTTATTCCAACTGGCATTTACTCCCTTTTTCACATGTTCGATACTTAATTACTTGTTTGTATTTTTATTTTCGCTTTTCTAACTTCCTTTTATTCATTCGCATCCTTCCTTCTTTTATCCCCTCCTTCTTAGCATTCAGTCCTTATATAGCCCCTGACTTTCTTAATCAAACGAAAAACATTTCTTACGTGTTTCGTATATCTGATGTTTCTCTTCGATTCTTCTTCCTCTTCTTCTTTCTCTTCTTCTTCCTTCACTTCTTCCTCTTTTTCTTATTTTTCGATGCATGTCCCACCAGGATGTTGGTGTCTATGGTGCTCGACAATTCCCTGAGCTTTTTTAAAACTTTTACCACTTCTACTAAACTGTTTTCTGCCATCCATTTACACAAACTCGTTAGGTAGGTTATTCGGTGTTTTCCTATGTCCCTCTAGATTTCAGTATGTCCTGTGTGTGTCAAATTTATCAAACCTTTTTCCTTTTTCATTATATTCCCTAGAGAGTTCAACTGTTTCTTTCTGATATTAGTTATAATTGTCCTTTTTGTTTAATTTTTTTTTTAATACTTTGCGTTTAGGCTATGTTATTTTCAGTAACCTTGTGTACAAACACATTTCTTTTGCTTATCATATTCCTGTAGATGTTTTTTTCCCATTTAATAAGTATTTCTTTTTTCATTCATTCATTTCAGTCTTCACACTATACCTCTCCCTGTGACTTTCTTGCTTTTTCTTTCTTTCACTATTTGTCGTACTTTACTTATCCTTATCATTTCTTTCTTTCTTTTCCCATTTTCTATCTCATCTCTCTCTAAGAGACAAACATTTTCTTTGTGTCTCGATTTATACATAAATTTCATGTAAACTATCTATCTATCTATCTATCTATCTATCTATCTATCTATCTATCTATCTATCTATCATTTGTTCATATCTATCATTTGTTCATATGTATCTATTCATGTTTCTATCTATTATTTGTTCATATCTATCTATTCATGTTTCTATCTATCTACCATTTGTTCATATCTATCTAGTCATGTTTCTATCTATCTATCTATCTATCTATCTATCTATCTATCTATCTATCTAACTATACACCTTTTATTTTATCTCTTTCAGTGACCTTATTGATTTTTACCTTACGTTACATTCCATTCTTAGTTATCTATCACATCAATTGATTTTTTGTTCTTTCTTTCTTTTTTTTCTATTTTATCTCTCTCTCTCTCTCTCTCTCTCTCTCTCTCTCTCAGTGGCAGTATTTTTTCTTTCTTTATTTAATTTCTTAATTATCTACCACATCATTTTACTACTACACTTTTCTTTATTTCTCTCACCCTTTCTTTCTTTCTTTCTTTCAACACACTTTCTATCTTATCTATCTCGTTCACCTTCTTGCTTTTTTCTTTCAATATATCCCACTTTCTACCTTATCACCACGTTAATTTAGGTTCTTTCTTTCTTTTCATTTTTATTTTCACATATTGCATCTCATTTCTCTCATTGATTTCTTTCTTTCTTTTTGTTTTCACACATCTTTCAACGAAACTCTACTAAGCTATTCATCCTGCAGAATAAACAATCGAATGCTCTTGACATGGTAACGGTGTAAACGCTTCACAAACATCCAGTGGATTTGAAAAGAGCGGAGAAATATTACAATTAATTTGCGATAATCACGTTGTATATTTGTTTTCCATTTCGTCCTCTTTTTAGAATTCTTTTGTTTTTAGAATTATTTTCTGTCATCACTTCTCTATTTTGGAGTCCTTAAAGCTTTCAAAGAAAAGGACTTGTTATTTGAAACGCTAGAAAACAATAAAGAATATCTGAAGGAATGATACATCATTGCGAGACCGATTTGGTCTCATTACTTCGTCGTCTCATGTGAAGGATAATATTTCACAAAAGATACAATACACATAGAAAACACATTTGTAAAAGTAGAAACACATGAATGATCTATTTCAAATAAAAATGTTTGTGAAAAGCAGAATTTCAAATCGCTTGAAAAGAAAAAGAATGAAAGAAAATTTACACTTCCAAAATGAAAAGAAATTTATAACAAATGTAGTCATCTTGGCCAGCCACATACTGTGGTTAGATTCTTTTTTGTCTTTTTTTTAATTCTATCTTTAGAGTCCTCATTGGAAAATGGCGCTTAAAGAAGCAGAGACGTAACAAAAGCGGCACTGTTTTATTCCTTCGTCACTTCATTCGTCTTCCATTATTTTTTCTTTCTATTTTCCATCGCTATTTATATTTAATTTTTGTATTCTGTTTCTTTTTTGTGTTCATGAGACGCTATAAAATAAAACAAAACTAAAATGTCAATCAACAACACGAAAGAAATGGGAAAGAAACCAACTTGAAGAATAGTAAGCAAAAAGAGCAGCAGTAAACTGATTGCGAGCATTAAAGTATTTTGCCAACAAATTTCTAACCGTGTAACACATTGTTCATAAAATCAAAGACTTCAGAAAATAAAGCATAGAAAAATCTACCTATCTAAAATTGTTCGTATCGCTTTCTCTTTGTTTCTTTGCTTTTTTATATATATATATATATATATATATATATATATATGTATGTATGTATGTATGTATGTATTATAATAGATTATAATGAAAACATTTTACATCGCTACACAAAAGTTTTCATGTTTCAATACTATGATTGTACTTTCTCAGGCGATGATAGAAAAGTAATGATAAAAATGATTTATTCGGGAAATTTAAAAACAAATCGTTACCTCATTTCGGAAGTTAAAGGTGGGCTAGAATTAAAAATATAATTGTGGGTATATCTTAATTAACCAATTAACACAATATTGTATTAGGCACATTTTTAAAAAAGGGAATGGTACGAAATGTGGATTTCTAGTCCATCTGTTCTTCCTTTTTATATATATATATATATATATATATATATATATATATATATATATATATATATATATATTATTTATTTGGATAGATGTGAGTTTGTGACTCTGGGTTTCACGCTTTTAGCGATCGACTGACGATCGCTAAAGCGTGAAACCCAAGATCACAAACTCATATATCCAACCAAATATGTTAGCTCTATCTCTGATATTGAGCGCTTTCTAATAAGTACCGCGCATATAATATATAAATTATTATATATATATATTTATTTATATTTATATACACTTTTCACACACACACACACACACACACACACACACACACACACACACACATATATATATATATATATATATATATATATCTTCATCAGTAGCACAACTCTAAATTTCATGCAAAGCGCAATTGTCAGGTACTGATTGAAAACTGAAATTCTTTCTTTTATTCTTTGCTTACTGGGTTTGACAATAAACTCCATGCTGCCTCCGATCAAGAGATTAGAGTTACTCAGGTGTGTGGAATCGCCCCTTAATTGCTGTTGTTCCGAGTCCCATCATCACCCGTGGTGGTAGCACCTTCGAGTGTCCCAACTATAGAAAAACAGTGAACTCGCAAAGAAAAACAACGTTACATTTTTATAATGAAATGATCAGCAATACATTTCTATAGCAAAATAACCATCAACGTAACAAGAAAAAATATCAAATATATATTTATTGTAAAACTGTCTGCAATATATTATATGATCGATAAGCTATATATCTAAAACACATACATTTACCCTGAAATATACAATTATGGATAAATATCAGTAGTTGAAAGTATAAAATTACGTACGGAATATTTAGATTTCGGCATTAAATAACCCATAGAGTTTGATATTGTTATGGTCCGGTTCCTTGTACCACGGTGATAGTCCAAGGTAGAACCAATAAAGAAGAACTCGAACACGTATATGGAACACTACAGATATATTACAAACAGCAATATATACAGAGAAGTAGAAAGTGTTAGTACGAACAATCAGGTTTAGTAGTAATTGTCTGAACGCGACTCTGTTTCGGACAGCCTCTGACTCGACTGACTGATTAGCTCTGACTGACTGACAGACTCCTGACGGACCTCACTCCAGACTTCAGACTGAATTTCCTGCTTCCTCTTGAGGGGCAGTATTTATTACGTATGGAATAGTCCATTATGTTATTATGGGTAAGGTCCCATAACGGATATACCGCTAAACAAAATCAACAAAATAACTTAATTTCTTTTTTCTCACCTAAACAATGTAGCGTCTCTCGTATATCTTTTCCGTTTTTCCTGAGGATCAAATCGATCAATTTTCAAACAGCACATGGTGATGCATTATGCATGAAACTCAGAGCATTGCTAACAGTGAAGAAAAATCTGTATATTTATTATTAATATACCTTATAGGTCTGTTAGTATACATACAGCTCTATTTTATTAGCTCCAGCAATCTATATGCGAAATTGTATACTCATATCTAACTATCTATATCATAAATACATGTTGTTTTATATAGCCTTTCTTTTCATGACATGAGCGATCATGTTTCTTCGAAATTTCCTCTCACTTGTAGCTCTTCATAAAATCATTTTTTGGCTCTTCCTCTTACACTCTGTTCAGCCGACTATTTACATAAGTTCGGTGGGTAGGTGATACACTAATTTCCGCTCTCCATCTTGCTTTCAGTATGTCCTGGGAATATAAAATATTCTAGGCTAGTTTTCCCAATGCTGTGCCCCAGATATGTCAACCGATTCTAAACATGCAGTCCATATTACCCTCAGCTTCTTTCTGTACAACTATATTTTTCTTTCCTCAAGTCCAGTCTTCGTCTCTGAAGTGATTTACCAGCATTGACTTCCATATAGAAGGGCTCATAATATATAAAAAATTCAGTACAGTTCACCTTATTTCTAACAAAAATTCCCGTTTCTTAATACTTTGTTTAGCCTTTGGAAGGCATCCTTTGCTATTCCAATGTACGTTCAGATTTCGGTGTTAAATTTTCCACTGTTAAAACACTTTAAAGTTATACAATGTTTTGCACTTTGTGGTACTTCGTAGTTTGCATCGAGGGCTTCTTAATTTGATAATTTTCAAAATTCATTTCTCAAATCAAGCAAGGCAACAAAGCAACTAAGATACAGAGGTTAGTGAATGTGAATGAATGAGAAAAAGAAACAAAAAACATTATTAATGAACGAGAACAATAAAAGAAGTGTAATGAACGAGAACAAAAGAAGTGTAATCAAGATGACAAAAATAACAATTGATATTGCATTTAAATTTTTAAAGATCAACGTTGGCTGGAAACCATGGAACCGGTGAAGGTCAACGAGCAAGAAGTTCGGGAAAAGAAACAGTTTGCAGAGAACTTACGGTTACATCAAGTCATTTCAGATGTAAAATAATAAAAAAAATTGCTGCTAGTTTGTACTGCTCATAAATTCATAAGGTCTATGTAACATAAGAAAGTTCATCTGAAAAATGACCATGTAAATATTTATAGTAAATTCACTAGGAAGCTATATTACAGCTGTGAAAAAGTGACTTAAGTTGAAATGCCAACTGATGAACAATAACATTGCTTATTCTCGTTTGGAAACAAGAATCTCTAAATATATAGTAAGAACACCAGAACATATGTGCCTGCAATATTAAAAACATGGGGGAATGGTAGACATATAAATATGTATGATAGATTTTGGAGAGGAAATTGTCTAGAACGAAAACATGAACGAACATTCCTAGCAGAAGATCTGACAATTGATTCAATATAATGTATTTTATATCAGCAAAGATGGTTAGCCCAAGAATGCTATAGATTCAGTATTTTTTTTGTTTTGATAATGATGATGATGCTGATGTTAATGTTCATGATACATATTCACCGATGTCATAAATTTCATAGAAACCTCAATACGTATATAGAAAAGTTAATGATATATTTATAGTTAATATTCTATACAACTAGAGGCAGATACCATAGGTCTAAGAAAGTTAGATATATATTAGTCCATTGTAGATAGATAGATGGACAGACAGAAAGAAACGATGATTTCATTCTATATATATATATATATATATATATATATATATATATAGAATCAAATGCATTTTCTTTAGTTCTTTCTATCAATTCCCCCTCCCCTCTCTCTCTCTCTCTCTCTATATATATATATATATATATATATATATATATACGCATAGAGACAAATAGAAAGAAAAAGAGAGAAATCGACAGAAAGCTAATATATAAAGTAATACACAGATATACACATATATATTTAAAAAAAGTTGTGCAAACGAATTATTAAGCAATACATATTTGGTATTATGCGCATATATGTGTGTGTGAATATATATATATATATATATATATATATATATATATATATATATATATATATAGGAGAGGGTGAACTCTGACGTGATGTGCGATAGAAAACAATAATGACAAGAAAAAGATTGAAAATAAACAATCTATGAAAGAAGCTGGAAACCGTAAAAATATATATATATTTATATAGGAAAT